AAACTTAACCATGTTTATTTTTTTAGAGCTACGTTATTTTTCTGTAGTTGTGTGGGAAGGAAAACATTCTTGAATACTGATCATCTATGAAGCCCTTTACAGATGCCCTTCTAACTTATTTTCTCCACAACTCAGGGAAGGACAGAGGGTTCTCTTAATAGAGCCCTGACTTTGAAAATGGGGGCTGTAAGACATTTATGGAGTGCTTGGAGGAAATTTCAACTTCCGCATTTTTTTTTCATCCTTTCAAAATGTATATTTTTGTGTGTGGTTAATATAATCAGAGTAGTGCATGTACATAATTTATAAGTACATGTATTGGGGTACAGTCTCAAATTTTTTTCTAGGAAGAGTGTGGTGTGATGAGAACAGTGTAGAACACCATTCTGGAGTCCAGCAAGACTGTGGGTGTTACGGGGCTTTCCTGTCCATGGGGTTCCCATGAGTACTCAGTGAGTTGAGATATGATAAATTAGGTTTAGGACAGAGCTCATACATAGTAAGCACTGTTACAATATTCATGGTAGCCACTTGTTGGCTTTTTCCTAAGGGTGTTTATTTATTTATACTTAACTCCTCCTTAATGGATTTGAAATGTTCACAAACAGACATTTAGTAAAATAAGATTTTTCTTTGCAGAGAAGGTATGGGCTGGGAAAGGAAATAAGAGAGCAAGAGAAAAGATGAAGTCAAGAGTTAGGCTCATAAGATTTTCTTCACTGTGCTTATAAGTGGGAAGAAAGTTTTATTCTTCAGTTTCCTAGTAGCCAATATACAGAGAGAAACATAATCAAATAACATCAGATGGTGTTTGTCAGATAAAGACAAAAATGTACCCATTCCTAGTCCTGGGCCCTGACAGACACACCCACACCATGGGTCCTCAAAACTGGGGAAGCCAAGGTTTGAACCCAAGCCCCTTGCATTTTTCATCTCTTGTCTTTCCTGCAGCTCAGAAAGAATCCTGCTCTATCTATGTGGTATCCATTTGTTATCAGTGGCCCTTAGTGCCTAAACAATTTTGAGCTAATGGTATAGTCAGTTTAATTTTCTTCTTGGTGATCTTTTAAACCTATAACATGATTTATCCCATCAAAGTACCTACTGGGCCTTGGACTGAAACTGATTTTTTTTCCTGATTCTATTTTAAAGTGTACATTCAACATAGAAAGACCCTTCAAGAGGCAAAGAGGGGGCAAAGGAAAATCAAGAAGAAGGAATATATTTTTATTGCAGAGTCTTTCATAGCAACACATTCGATGACTGAGGGGCTCGATCTCTGCTTCCCCCACCCCTCAACCGGTGGCTCCCTCCTGGCTGCTGTGAGCCCATGACTGGCCTCTCTCAACTAGCCCCCTGCCCAGGGGCTGCTGCTTTTAGCAAGGCCAACGTTATGAACTGCAAAATATTTGTTAGCCACAGATCATGACAGAGCAACTTTTGCATGTTGAACACTTTTCAAGGCAAAGAGAGTTTTAAAACACACTGCATGTGCAGCCAAAATAACTGATATTGGACATTCCATTAAGAGAGAGAGAGAGAGAGAGAGAGAGAGAGAGAGAGAGAGAGAGAGAGAGATATTGATGATTGAGTGTGGTGGCCGTGTATGTGTCCTAACACATTCTGAAAGTGCTTTGGAAATAGTATAGCACCGTGTACTAGTATAGCATGTCTGGTTAAGTGTGCTGTTACTGCAAAGGAAGATAACACACTGTCCCTGGCTAAAAGGAAGTTTCAAACTATACAGAGAGTGAGAAGTAGCCCATGCGAGTCAGCGAGCAACACCCAGGCTAACTGAGCACTCCATCGTGCGGCACAGGCGAGCCTCACAGCTCGCTAACACCAAAGGGCAGATAAATCACTCATTTACAGAACCCTAAATGTTGGAAGAGTGTTTGAAAGCTGGTATGAATGATGATGGCAACTCTTAATTGACAAAAGCTGGCATCTGTACTGGTTAAAGGAGTAAAATGTTAGGATTTTTGAGTTGTCAGGGCACTTCAAAGATTATCCAGTCTCCAAAAATGTCAAATGACACACTTTTTAGGGTTTGTTTTTTAAAGTCATTGTAGCTAAGGGGTGTGTGTGTGTGTGTGTGTGTGTGTGTGTGTGTGTGTGTTTTAACTTGAAGGTGACTGGATTAACTTAATTAGAAGCTTGGGTTTCTGTTAGCCTGGAAGGGAAAACGGGTTTTTGAATAGCCTGTCGTTTGTTGTAAGAACCAGCTTTCTCTTTCTTGGAGACAGTGGAGCTGCCCTATTTGGTGTGCTGCTTAGGTCGTGCAGGGAACCTGGACTCGTTGGGCCTTTACCTGCCCCGCTGAATCTGCCTGAGGGCGTAATTGTACCTAAGCAGAGATGAAAGCACACTGCCTGGGCTTCAAGCCATGTAGGTGGATCTGGTATTGTATCCCAGGAAGGAATACTGTGAAGTGGGGCAGTCTCAGTGGGGCATCTTTGTGGAAGGGCCCGTGGCTTCTGAGCTGCTTGCTACCTGTCTCCCAGGGCCCTGGTGAGTGTGGGTGGTGGAATGTGTCTCCCAGCTGAACTTCATGAGGGTGGTGGGAGCGTTTCCTACTTGCAAACATATTGTAAACTTGTAATATCCTGCTTTTGAAGTGGCGACTCCATCTGGGCCCTCCCATCTCAGCTATTGTTCCTGCAGCTGGGGGCCTTCCTCCTATGCCCGCTTTCCTTCCGCTGTCTGCCAGGACCTGAATGGTGCCGCTCCTCAGGGTCTGGGCACTGTGAGAACTGGACCTTCAGCCCTGCCGTCCAGGAGCCCTGACCAAGCTGGGGTCCCTTCTCTCCTCATCTGCTTTCTGGGACCTGCTCCCAGTGCTATCACTTGTAACAGGAAGTAAGGAAGTCCCTTGTCTCTGTTCCCACTGCTAGAGGTCTGAATTAGGACTCAGATCCTTGTGGATCTGATTCTGAAGTGTAGGGCACTTAGGGAGAGCAACTGGGGAAAACATCACTTTGATTTCCTGTTTACTTTCAACTTAAGGACATGTGCCTGCAAATAAAACAGCCACAACTATAAAACCAAACAAATCACCCCTACCCCGAGTCTGGAACTTCTCTGTAACTTAGATATTGAGATAGCCTGGGAGCCTAACTAATTGCAACATGTCTATAAGAAAAGCATTCCGAGTTCCAAACACTGGACTTATTGTAACACAATCATACCTTATTAACAGGTTTACGATTAATAATTACGATGAGTAAGCAGTAATCTCATTAATAGAGTCTTCATGTGAAACACTTAGCACAGCCCTTGACATGGTAACCTTCCTTTAAATGTTAGCTGCTGCTATTACCACCACCAGCAGCACTTGTAGAATGGAAAGAGTCATACGTGCTATACTTCTGCTCCTGTGAATGGCGTATTAAAAAAGCACACAATGAAGGAAGGCTGCGACTGATGCCAAATAGATGGAGAGATGAGTGTTAATACTCCTGATAGAATGCTTGGAATTGCTGGGAATAATGACAGGCACCCAAAAGGTGTGACAGGTCCGTCCCAAATCAACCCACACTTTGGTTAGAGAACCATCTCTAACCCATAACAGTGAGATAAAATGTAGTGTCTGGACATAACTGGAATAGAAGGTTGTGCATTGGCTCATGCACTGAATAAGCAAGTGTTTATTCGCGTGCTTAGCATGTGCCAGGCGCTGTGCTGTTCAGAAAAGGAAGAGGTCGGCTGATGACAGACACTCTAAAGAGAGAGGCTTCCGTGTGTAGGAGGGATTTTTAAATAGAGGAGCAGCAGAGCAGCAGGAGCGAAGTCAGTTTTAGAGCTGTACAGAATGCCCTGTGGTCCCAACAAGGAAATTGTTTTGTCTTTACTTCTAAACCTTAAAAAGCGTTGTAAAAATAAACCAAACAAAACCCTTGGACCCTTGGATCCTAGATAACAGATTCTGTTGGAGCCAATTCACCAACCTTCTGATAAAAGTGTGTGCTCATGGTATTTTGATGAGACAGCTTAATCCAGGCTGCTGGGCTCTGATACACTGTGACCCAGTGCACCTCCATTTAAGCCTAGTAGTTAAGGACCCAGGCTGCTAAGATCCAAACAGGGAATACAGAGGGATCAGAGGACATGGCTGGCCCCTGTTCTGCAGGACACAGCCAGTAATGGGTCTATGGTGACTTGTGCTTGCAAGGGGATCGCGTGTGGCTCTGCGCCTTTAAGTTGGAAGGGGCTGTTTGTAGAAGCTGCATGGGGTGCCTAGTCCCACTTTTCATCATCATAGTCGTCGTCTTCTGCCTAGATGCTCTTCTGCACTGGTTTTCTTTCTTAGAGGTTAAATTTTAATTCTGCAGCCAAGCGTCCTTCTCGTGAGTGTGCTGTCCTTGCGCTGCTTCCATAGAGGTTTTCCATCCTGTGCCACCAAAGGAATAAAGTCAAGTCAGCCTCCCTGCATACTCTTGACCAGATGGTATAAAGTTTAATTCTAAAGATCAAGTTCTCTGCTTGACTTTATCATTGAATTCTTGTTTTTATAGATGTTTCTCCTGCATCTTTTCTCCAGTAATCGTTGTGTGGCTCCCCCCCCCCACCCCCGCCCCCATACAGAAATGTTGTTAATTTGGAAGAATTATTAAAAGGTTCAGAGGCATTGAATGAGAGATGAATTCTTTCGTGAGCAATTCATCTGTGTTTAAAAGAGAGGCTACATCATTCCCAAATGACACAGATATACCGTTAACTCGCAGACACTGTTTTGAACAGCTTTTTCATTATCTTCTTAGCAGAGCTTTCTCCTCCCCTGTACAATGTTTAGCAGTGTATTTCCCCTGATAAGCAGCATTCTTCTAATGCATCAAAATACATGGTATGAAACATACTTTGATAAAAATCTGTGTGGACTAGAAAACTTTCCCTTGGTCATGGGGAGGGGAGAGAGAGAGAGAGAGTGTTTGTGTGTTTTAACTCTCGACAGCCCCAGCTTTGCCTGGCCTCCTTCAAAGTATTTTGGTCTCTCATTTCAGCCACAATTACAAGTTCATCCGAAAATGATGACCGGAGTGGCTCCAGTTTGGAGTGGAATAAGGACGGAAGCCTAAGGTTAGGGGTGCAGAAGGGAGTGCTTCATGACCGCAGGGCAGATAATTGCTCCCCAGTGGCAGAAGAGGAACCCACTGGGTCAGCGGAGAGCGTGCTGCCCAAAGCGGAAGCCTCAGCTGGAGATGGTCCAGTCCCTTATTCTCAGAGCTCCAGCTCACTAATAATGCCACGGCCCAACTCAGTTGCAGGTAAGGCTGTGCTTCTCCATGGGAGGGTTATTCCGCTGGGTCTGAGGTGCCCCGTGTTCACCCTCTCCACTTGGGAATCTAATCCAGACACGAGCCAGCTTTGCGATTGTGGGCCAGGCCCTTACCTTTTCTAGGCCTCAGTTTACCTGTGTGTAAACATGAGAAGGCTGCACTTAATGGGCTTTAAGCGATCCTTCCGCTCTGGAATTCTTTAAATCCAATATTTAGACTACATGGCTCTTTGTATCTGAGGGAAGAAATTACCAAAAACTCTGTCTTTGTTTCTGTTATGTTCTGAGTAAATGCATGACTTTAATTACATCTTGGTAAACAGGAATCGTTGTTTAGAGTAAGTTTGTTAATATCAGCTCAAAGAATTTCTTTTCCTTTTCAATTACAGCTGACCTTCAGTATTATTTTATATTAGTTTCAGGCACACAAGCATAGTGGTTAGTCATTTATATAATTTACAAAGTGATCCCCCAATAAGTCTAATACCCACCTGGCACTATACATACTTATTGCAATATTATTATTGACTGTATTCCCTATGCCTTGTATCCCTGTGACTATTTTGTAACTACCAATTTGTACTTCCTGTAATCTCTTCACCTTTTTCACCCAGTCCCCCAACCTCCCTTCCATCTGGGAACCATCAGTTCTCTGTGTCTGTGAGTCTGTTTCCGTTGTGTTTGTTAATTTATTTGGTTCCTTAGATTCCATGTATAACTGAAATCATATGGTGTTTGTCTTTCTCTGACTTATTTCATTTAGCATAATACCCTGTAGGCACATCCATGTTGTCGCAAATGGTAAGATTTCTTTTTTTTTTTTCATGGCCAAGTAATATTCAATTATATATATGCACCACATCTTCTTTATCTAATCGTCTGTCGATGGGCACTTAGGTTGCTTCATAATCCAACTTTTCAAACTTATTTTTTAAAATTGAGGCACATCATACAGATAGGAGGTCCAATTTCTGTATAATTCTGTTATAAGGGCTCTCACAGCTTTAAACATCCGCAATGGAAATGAAAGCTCTCAATCAAGGAAATGAAAACAGGCCACACCGACGTGCCTTAGCAAGATGGGGCAGCTGGACCTAAGAAAATACAGAAGTGATGTGACTGTCGCTAGTGGACTGGTCAGTGGGTGGTTGTCAAGCAACGAGAGTAGGAAAACCAGGGGTGGGTGGGGGAGAAGACCTCTGCACCTGAGCTGTCATGCCTGCTTTTAGGTCCTGAGTTTCTCAACTTGGTGCCCTTGTCTTGAATTTAGAAGAGGAACTTGTTTTAGTCGTTCCCTGTTACCAACATAATGCTTAAAATTTCTCCTCTGCTAACACATGGACCCAGCATCTCTCTCGCTACATCAAAGGATTTTTCTGTAATTTATACTGCTCCTTTGGGAAGTGGCAGGCCACTCTGGTTGTCGTTGGGTGTTTTTTTACAGTGGAACGCTGAAGCAGCTGATAAATAAATGGCCCTAATGGAAAAGCTCTGAGACACAACTCTAATTTGCTTTCAAAGGAAATAAAATGGCCTTGTTCCAGAAGAGAGGTTTGGTATGTCTGCCAGAGAGAAGTACTTACACGTATTGAGTGATGGTTCTTCCAAAAGCTTTTGTGTCCTCCCACCACCATCCCACCACCTACAACATCATATGTTGCACCCAACGCATTTTAAAAAAGATTTACCTAGTTATCATGAATGGCTCATTTGTATTATCCCAGAACTTGATGGTTTTATTGACTCCAGCAAAAATAGCAAAATTGTATTCAATTTCATGAAGTTATTTGCAAATTGGGAAACACATTAATAAATTAATTCAACAGTGTTAAAAGCACCCCATTTGGAGTGATGTTTTCTGCTTGGCGGTTCTTTCATGTGGTCCCCTGCCATGTGAAGTGACAGTGGGTGTGAGCTGAGCTTTTCCAGGAGTCTGTGGTGATTACAGAGCAGGGCTGTCTGACTTCTGCTGTGCTCATTCATTAGCTTCTACGTACGCACTTGAGTTAGACCTCCTGTGGAATGGGAGGGTTTTACCTCTGGGTTTGAGCAGTGACTGCCTGGCCTAATGGGTTTGCTTGTTTCTTCCGTGTTGCACATTTTATGAACTGAAAACATATTTTGAAAGGAAATAGGAAAGTGTAATATCGCATAGTATCTGTTGAGAAGCTGGGAGTCTGGTAGGCTCTTTATTGCCTACCCTCCTTACCCCTAAAGCTGAACCTCAGTTAAGAGGGAATGGCAAGATTTTTCAAGTATTGCTAAAGAATAAAAGATTCAGGTTGTATAGTTCATGCAGCACTGTTTGTCTAGAAGGCAAGCGGCTACAAACAGGACAGTAGCTACACTCAGTGTTAGAAGGATGACAGTAATATGTAAATCTCTCCGAAGCATTTGCATGTGAAGGTGCATGTAAACACAAATAAATTGCCTTTTGATAGGAAACATCAAGTGATTTGATTTAGTGTATGCAGAGTAAGGACTGGCAGGTGAAGAAAGACCGATGCCAGGCCTCTGTTCACTCTGGTGCTGGTTCCAAGGAGCCTGGTCGCTCCGGGGAAATGAGCATATGGAACCAATTTCTAAGGTTGCCATCGGTTACTGTCATTGAGCCTGTCACAACTGTGGTTGTCTGTCCACTGTTATCTGTCTAGTACAGTGAAATTTTCATGTCAAAGATGATAAAATAAGTTGGCTAGGTTTGGAGATTGTTTTACTATACAGAGATTTTCTTTGCAAAGACATTTGTTAGAGTGGAGTTGGTTTAGAATGGTGTAGTCAGGTCATTACTGAATGGCACAGCAAAATGTACGGCACGGACATCTTGTTCCTTTATTAAAAACAGAATGAGAGGCCTTAAAAATGCTGTCTTAGGTCACCTGGAAGTTGGATAATTAGGATCTACTATTTTTGCCTACATTTTTTTCTTCTTTCAAAATACTCCCTAAGTGAACCATAGAGCACTGTGTTGAGTTTCCCAGGAAAACAGCTTACACAGTTACCAGCGAATTTTATTCAAACTCTCACTGGTAAGTGCCTGGACTTAATGGCATTTACCTTTAATAGGTTAGTCCATGATGCTCCAACAGATGTTTTTCTTTGCTCTGCTTAGGGGAGTCTCCCTCTGCTTCTGCCCCCACCCCCCATCCAGCGCCCTCCCCCACCAAGAAAAGACCTCTATCCTGCTGCATATTAGAATGATATTACAATGTACTTCTCACCCAGATGTTAGACACAATGTGTGTGTACAATGAGTGTATAATTAATTTTATGGTAGAGATATTAGCAAGTTTTTTCAACATGAAATTATTGCTTTACCTCTGATTTTTCTTGGCCCTGAATCGTGTGTAGAATTTTGAAAGCATTTATGGTTAAATACCAGAAGTGAGTCTGATTCTTGTGTTAGTAATGCCTGAGAAGCTACTGTAGGCATGGGTGAGAAGAAGGCAGAATGGGGCCCAAGCCACCTGCTCTGCAAGGTGGGGAACCCCTGGGCGCAGAGCTAAAGCCTCACTGCTCCTCCTCGCCAGTGTCTTTCTCAGTGGCTTTGACAACCCCTTAGAAAACAGCGGTAGCAGGCAGCTGGTGGCCTGCAGCCCTGCCGAGCGGTGGTCCATTTCGACGCAGCTTAATCATGTTCAAAATAGAGCATCAGACAGAGCTGTGGAGTTGCTGGGGCCACTTATTGCATACTTTGAAGCTGAAGCTGCGGTGTCTGGAAATCTGGAAACAGGCATTGGAACATTGGAAACCTCACCATCTCCTGCATCCATGTCAACCTAGGGCTTTTTTTGCAGTCCTTTCTTTGGGATCATTTAGCTCTTTAGAGTCTCAGATTCTTAATCTTTTCGGTTGTCACAAAACTATAAACTGAATGTCATGTTTTAAGGGGTCAGAAGAAGGGAAATAGGGAACCCTTTCGAGGCCCGAAGCATCTTTCTGTTCTCCAGAGCCGAAGCAGCAGGTCAGACATTCGTGGCCGTTTCGGCTCTGAAGTAAACGGGCTTATGGGTTGCACTGTGGCTGTACCTTCTACTTTGGCCTCGGACATGTGGGAGTATTCATGGTGAGGCATGTCGAGGAGAGGGGTATTTACAGAGGCCCAGGTCAGAGGCTCAGATCCCAGGCAGGAGCCTAGAAATAGGTTCCAAGCTGTATTATAGGAAGCAGGGGTTATGGTGTGGTCCTGCTGGCCTTCCGGGAATTTTCACAGGCCTGGTTGTGAAGGACCTGGAGAGAAGCTAGAGACTGCTTATTGAATTCCCATAACTTAGGCCCATTTGTAAGTTCTACGTAAGGAATTAGCTGAATTTTTCTAATGGGAAAGGTTTGCGTGTATATGCAACGTGTTAAACAGCCTGTGGATATGCACCTAAGGGATACGGAAGCATAAGTTATGTCTGCTGTTGTTAAGTCAAGGTGTCAAATGTTTCTCTGCAGACTGGGGAGGTGAAAAAGGCACATTGTCCATTGCCCCTTGGAAAATGCAGCAAGAGGGGACATGCCATGATAAGAGCCAGGCCATGAGCCACCCAGGTGCTTACTGAATGGAGATGGAGAAGGGTGGTTCTCACAGTGAGAAAAGAAAGAACTGAGGCCTCAGGCGGCAGATGGTGCCGGTCAGCGGCTGGATGCTGCGTGAGAGCCAGGAGGTTTCCAGCAGACAGATGGCCCAGCTTGACTTCTGTCCCTTGAAACTTGGTCCTGCTAATGATTTCTCCAGTCCTGAGAAGGCTCAGCTCTTGGAATGTGACTCCCTCTTCCTCCTTATTTGCCCTTAGATGACATCTGTGTTTTATTATCCTGGCAGATCATCATATGTCTAAGAGCGACAGTACTTTATGTTGGGCCACGTAACCCACAAACAAAAATTAGGTTAATTTTATTTAGATTTCTCTTATTGTGACCTACCTAGGATATATGTGTAATTAAGAGATTTTTTTTTCTTTTTCTTTTTTTCTTAAGGCTCAAACATGTACTGTATATTTGCTTCTAAGATTTACTGGGAATTAGTAAATTTATTTTGCATTGGTTATTTTGATAATCCATCTTGTGTATGTTTGAATAGACCCTTAATGCTTGTTAAAAGGTGTCTATGTGCTATGAACCTTATTTGATTTGATTAGAGGTAAATGCAACTACCTATTTTAAGAATTTTTAAAACAGTACATATATATAATATATAATGTGTTACATATGTAAATAAATAAGTTTGAAGCTTAGGAATATGTTTATTTCCAATAAAGTCCACACGGCTACTTTTACTGCCCGGAACTGACTTTCAGGGCTCTGAGCACTGTGGGAATTGTATATGCAGAACCTGCTCCCTTAATTAGCAAGGTTGAAATTCTTGCAACCGTGGCATGCTCTTTGGAGCTGCAGAGAAGTCTCCAGTACCATGCTGCATGTTTGTCGTAAGTTCTGAAGCTTAACTGACACTTGATTGTCGTATTTCTTCATAAAGATTTATGGGGAAGTCTGGCTCTTTCCATGAAAAATGGAGAATTTTCCAACAACATCAACATGACTTTGGTTTAAGAAA